AGAAATAATAATAAGTTGTTCTTTGTCATTTATTATACTGACATGAATTAGGAAAGTAAGTTCAAAGACAAAGTATAAAAAAATCAGTATTTCTCCAGTGTGTGTGTGTGTGTGCAGCCACCTGTGACAAAATAGTAAAGCTACGACCTGTATATCCCATATTTATCCCATAGCTCTTTCTCACTTCCTCCCTTCCTCTCAGCCCATTCATCCTTCCTCCCTTGTCAAAACTGAAGAATGTCTTTCTAAGACAGATTGCACTGACATACTGTCTGCAGCTAACCAGGATATGAAGGATGAACTTCTGATCCTAAAACAGTAGACCACTGGTTTAATAGAAAAAAAACAAAACAAAACATCGTCCGTTGACACAATTTCTTTTGTTTGCATTACGATAAGATTCACTTTTAGACCATCTGCAAGTGGAATCTTCTCCCTTAGGTATGAACAGGGAGAGGGAGGTTGAGGGGGGGCAACTCCCGGGGATCAAGTGGTGATGGTGGAAATGGTCATAAAAAATGGAGCTGTGAAATAGAACGAAAAGCCGTCTTTCACGCTCCTCCGGGGTTGAGAGGAGAGTCAGTGTGGGAAAGTAGGAGAAAGAAGGACATGAGAGATAGGAGGGGATCTTAAGCTGGGCTTCTGTTCACATTCTCCAGCCCAGCCTGGTCCCCGGAGACCCATTTCCACTGATCCACTTGCCACTCACACATGCACATACATACACCACATATATATATGTATATGTATGTATGTGTATATATATATATATGTTTTTTCTATTACCTTAACCAGCATATTATTATTACCTTAACAACCATATATATATATATATATATATATGCACACACGTAGATTTGACATCAGCGTAGCTTTGACATCAGGTGCTGGTTAAGGTAATAGAAAAAACATACGTTCAGCTCTGTTACAGTTTAAAACCCTTCAGTTTCGGTTCGGAGTTTTCTCATGTCTTGACTACACCTTCGAGACCCGAGGAGTGTAATCTTTGTTTTGTTGTCTGGTTTACGGTTCATACTGATTTTATAGGTGCAGAAAAATGCAAAAATAAATGTTAGTTTTTTTTGTTTTTTGAGGTGCGGTGCATCTTTGACCGTTATTAACCTTAAGGTTAATGACATCCAGTTGATTGAAACTAGTTATTACTGGTTATTTACATTATCAGACAAAATCTCCAAAAATCAGTAACCGTAGACATTTGAGCGTCAGCGTCTTCTGCAGCAGAACACACACAGCAGAGTCTTTTTCTGTGCCAACTCAGGCAGAGTTTTACTGGTATCTGTTTTCTAAGGAACTCAATGTTTAACTTCATTTAGTTAAAAATTAAAAACACTAAAAGAAGTCTCGTGGTGAGGAAGACTCACGGTGCCAGAACAGCAACCAATAAAGTGTGAGAAAATCCTCACACGTAAGATTTCCTGTTGTTCGCGTTGAGACTCGCTTATTTTTTAATATGATTTAAAATGATAGATGTTTGTTTACAGTATTGACACCATAGGATTCCAGTCAGTCTGTTCCTTCTACTGCTGTCATATCATTTACAACTGCTTCTTCATCTTTACAACACCCTTCAGAGGCACCGGCCATGCTAGTCAATAAAACCCACACCTCACATGGCTCTGGTAGATGAATCCTCTGCGTTTAGCTGTTTTTGTTTATTCTGCTCTCAGATCCTTGACCCTTCAGGCTTCCGCATGTCTTTCCCTTCGTTGTGCTGTTGTGTCTTGGACATCTGTTTTCCAGATAAGGGTCACGAGTGTGAGGGCTGATTCATTGCTTTTGTCACTAACATAGCATTTGAAGCGTTCTCCCCGTGTCCATTTCCCCCACGGTCCAGTTTTTATAGCGCTGCGATCCAGATTTAGTGACAGATCGGGCAGTATGATAAAGAAAAAGGGCTTTTCTGTTTGTTACATTAAGAGATCGTCTTTCACAGTAGGAAACAGCAGACTGTTGAAACGCTCAGTGTCTCCACCTACTACTCTGACCTTGGCAGCCGTGAGATATAAAAATGTTATTTTGTGAATTATGTCTGGACGAGGCAGGAACTAAAGTCTCCACCTCGACTTCTCCAGTGACCGTACAGTCACGAACAAGAACATTTCAAAAGTTTAGCCTCGTCACCGAAACTCATACACTTAAAATTCACTGTTGCTTCTTCTTTTTAAATCTCTCGTCCTTTCTTTAGAGTTTTTTTTTTTTTGACGGACAGTGGGCATCTTCTATTGGAGGATGGTTAGTTGGTACAATAAGACGCAGGCCTCTCTCATCTGTTTGTCCCCTCTGTTCTCCATCTTCTCTCCGGTGGCTACTTGTCCAGCAGGGCCGCAGCGTTTCACAGTCTAATTACATGTCAATTAAAGGATTTTTTTTTTTTTCCCCCTCGGTCGTCCTTCTGCCAGAGCTTCGGCCACAGCGGGCTTAGGGGACTCTACTGAGTGAAAGTGAATGAGATATCATTTCATGTGGAGATCAGCCGGGAGAAGGTCTTGAAAAGAAGGGGATTGTGGGGGTGGGGGGGGGGGGGGTGGCGCGCGGCAACCCGCCAACCCGCCAGCGCCGTAGGGGGACTGGGGGGTTTGCCCTCGGCAACCCGCACAACAGCCAGCATCTTAAACAAGAGGCCTCCGGGATAGTGGCCAGAGGATTATGGGAATATTCATGACCAGATAAAGGGTGAGCAGTTGAATGACTTTGTTTGGGGCTCATCTCTTAGGTAAACACGGCTGTAAATGGAGTTTTAGATCTTTACTCCCACTGTTCACTGACGAACACACTGTGGTGACTGTCTACTTTATTTATTTTTTTGCTTGTTTTTGTTGCTTCTACACAGAGTGGTGGAAAGAATATCCTTGTTGTAAGTAAGTCTGTTTTTATAGGTTTTGTAGGTAGAATAAATATCTTTTTTTTTAACCCAGAAAATACTTTTCCAAAATATTCCAGGTTACCTGGAGGATAAATGTTTACCCACTTGTATTTCCCAATTCCAAGTAGGAAGTGCCTGTTCAAAGCTTTCTGAAGTTGTCACTTATACTCCACCACGTCAAAGAACCTGACCCTGCAATCAAGTAGGTTCTTCAGAGAACTTACCGCCTCGTTTTGGTTTTTTTTTTCCCAGCTTTGACCTTTTCTCAGTTACACTTGGAACAGTACATCAGATACTGTCCAAGAGCACATGGGCGTGTGCATCGTCAGAGATGAGGTTTAAACTATAATTATCAGTTTCCGACTTATTCAAACATTTCAACTCATCTTATGTTTTTAACCAAGTCTTCCAATAAAACCATTACCCTGTTGTTTCCTCCAGTAAACGGAGCCTGGCAGAGTCCTGACCCGTGTCAGGCACTGCGTCTGAACCCCGCAGCTTCATTTAGCACCTTATCGTCAGCCACATCTAAACCCAGGTTAACGCTTTTAA